ATATATATATATATATATAATATGTTTTAGCTATAATTATGCATGTATAATAGATATTAACCTCGATAATCTTGAAAGATTTCGAACAAAAAAAATTTTATTCTATATTTTTTCATTTTTCTCGCAAAGAAAGTTTGTCAAGCTTGAAAAACTAATTAAAATTCAGAATACTTTGAATAATAACTTCATTTAAAATGCTTATAAGTCAATTCGATACTAATACTAGTTATCCTACATCGATTATCCGATGTTTTGAATAATAAAATATCAAAGTAATTCAATTAAAATAACTTCTATTCTTAATTCGAATCGTTAAAAATCTCTGCTTGACTTGTTATTCGACCGTTGCACGCATTGCCATTTCCCATTACCTCAAAGCCATTGATACGAAAAACTACATCCATCAAAACTAAACCAAAGTTCCTTTTACAGGCCAATCTACCAACCCACCACCAACCACTCTCTCCATTCTCGATTCAAAGAGGTGGAAGCAATTATTCCACTCGATAACTAGTACAGTAACCATCACCATAATCTTCGTCGATCCTGTGCCCGACCGATACTCGCGAAACCACGCGAAACACTCCTAATTGCGGCCATTTCGTTTTTCAATAGGGAATGGATCTGATCCATCGATCCATCGCCACCGCCTTTGAAACATCCTCTCTCGTTCCCTCTCTTTCCTTCCATCCCCTCCCCTCTCCGGAGGATACCTTGGCAAGGGTTTGGTGGTGCACGCGTTTCGAGCATACGTCCGGGAATTGGCTCGCGCGGCAATTGCCGGCCAAGAACAAAAGAGCCACGTTCGGAGTTCGTTATGACAGTTCGTTAACTCGGCAAATTGTCGGGCTGTCGTTAATGGGCGGTTGCCAATTATCGAACCGATTACGAACGCTGAATTATCCTGCATTCATTCATTAGTTAACTGCAATTTTCTTCCATGACACGCGAACACGCGCCCGACCCCGTAAACTGTTGATAGCATTTGGCATCGCATCGGTGGTGTCCGGCCTGCTTATTCGCGCGAAATTACGACGAGTTTCACGAGTTTCTCGCCAACGGCTCGTTATAAAACTGTTACTCGAACGTTAATTGCCGGCCGTGAATGGGGGAAAACGTCTGGATGGACGAGCGTGGAGCGATAAGGTTAACGCGATTAAGTTTGAAAGGAGTGGTACAAGTCGGTGGAAGATCGTAAGAGAGAAGGTTGATGATAATGTTATGAATGGTAATCTGATTTGCTCGTTTTAATAAGGTTTATAGGTTAATTAGGAGCGCTGCGGGGGAGGATGATATGCAGGGGGAGGAACTATATATAGTATATATGTATATATATATAGTAATTACAGGGTCTACAGATGAATTTCTTGCGATTAAGTTTAATCTGATTAATATGAAACAATAAGCTTGTTTTGAGATGCTGTATTATAGGAATTTTTCTTTTTTTTTTTTTTTTGTTTATATTATCGCATTGCATAAGTAATATCTTATCCCATAGATAGAGTTTTCGACCAGCGAACGTGATAGACGGTTGTTTTTGAATGGAACTATTAGAATGGGATATAAACTGCAATTATCTGTTGATTAAGAATTTTTTTTAACTTCTTTAACGCTCAATAATTGAGGATGTGATTATAAAGTATTTCCGAAGGATCGTTTCAGATAGAATAACTTGTAATGGCTCCAATTTGGATGGATGCCAAGTTTCAAACCAGATAGAGATATCGCTTTTGTTAAACGATGATCGAAATATCGAGAGTTCTAATAAACAACAAGGAACATTTTTCTCTTAAAATTATGCATCAGAATGCATCTGTCTATCTTTCAAAGTTTTAGTTTTAATTACTCAAATTGAATTGATATACTACAGTTGAATATTCAACTATAATATAATAAATGATTTCAAAGTTCAAGCTTATCTTCTTTCTTTACTATATATATTTTTCACGATGATATCAAATCATAGTAATCACAACCTTGAACTTTTTATAAAAAAAAAAACTTGAAGAAAAATTAAATATTTTATTTATCAAAAATATCCAATCAGGAAAAATTTAAGTATAATTTAAGCCACTTTTTGTTTTATCTTAACATCTTAATCGATTTGCCCAAGATATAAAAATTCAAGTTGTTAATAACACTTAGTACACTGCAAAAATTATGAATGAATAATTTCTAAATATTCGCGTTCTAAATATTTTTCTTGGAAATGCATACTATGTTCTTCCAGGAACATTTATTACTTGTCTAGAATTTGAGATTTGAGAATAAATGTAATAAATATCTTTAGAATTAAAGCGCTTTCTGAATTAAAGAATTTTCTGTTTCAATATTAATAGAATTTAAGTTTTAACTTAATTTTAAGTGTATGTGAAACATAGTTAATCTCTAAATTCTTGAAATTTATTAAAAGAAATATATATATATATATATTTAATAATCGATCAAACATTGTTTCGTCGACTATCTAACGAGAAATAATTGCATATCACTAATAATTTTTAAGTCTGTCAAGTCGAGTACAATTCATACGTTGCTGCAATTCATCATTGATATCGATGGTACTTGCCCGTTCTATCGTAAACTGTCGCCCACGCGTTGCCAATAAATTCGAAAGCCCCTGTCGCATTCTTCGCGAAACACCTCGGAAAATCCTGATCGGCGGGGGTTCATCGGTTTATTTCGACGATAAAGTCGTTTTATCGGACGGCAGCGCGAATAAAAAGCAGGCGTGCTCGAATAAAAATTCTGATATTCTATCGGCATGGAACATCGACGTTCGTGTAGATGAACGGGGTTGGAATGGGATTCGAAATGTTATTAAAAATCGAGGAAAACGGCAAAGGAACGAAAAAGGAAAGAAAGAGAGAGAGAAAAAGAAAGGAAAAAAAAGATAGGAAAAAAGATTTGAAGATAACCAGCGGCAAAAATGTAAAGGTACATTATACGTATAATTGCTTTATTATTCTCGAAATCGTTTCAGATGCCGCGTAAATGGGATTTCGATAAAAGTGTCCCTGTTTTATCGTTTAACAATAACGATTCTGGCTCGTTGCGCCGCTTCTTTCCATCGATATTCCATTTTCTTTTTTTTTTTCTTTTTTTTTTTTTTTCACTCGCCTCGTATTTATTACCCCCCCTGTCCTTGTTTTAAATAACCGATACACCAGGCATCGAGGCGGATTGAAATTGCCGTAACGAGTATCGGGCAAGGCCGTTGCCCCGCGCGGATCGACATTCGCGTCTAAATATTCGTCGATGGAAACGGTTTACGCCGATGAAATTGATGACGCGGATCGAAGAGAGGGTGGCATAAAGGGGGTGGACCGGGAACCGTTTATTCCATTTCGAGGAACACGTTAACTTTGAGGCGATCCTTGGTTTATTGCATAATCTCACGAGGGAAATAAGAAGAATTAAAAGAAGTTTGAAACGAGGATTCGTTCTTGTTTCTTCGTGATTTTCCGCGATCTTTGAATATCATTGACACGCGGATATCAACGCGTGTAAAAACTCTGCGAATTCTTTTTTTTTTTTTTCTTTCATTGATTCGCTCGCAGTTTTTATTTTATATGTAAAAATTTTAATCTCGCGATTAATTATTTTCCACCGCTTGATTAATTCTCTTGAAATTATTCGAGACTAATGTTAACGTTAGAATTGTACGATGAGTCTTGTTTATCGTATTTCGATGATTATAAATTTTGCGAGATTATTTTTATTTTAAATCGCGAAAAAAGAATTTTCAGTGAGAAGTTTTATTGTTTGAAAAAGTTTTTTCATCGTTTATATATGCTTGAATATTATATACAAAAGATTAAAGTTGTAATAAAAGTTGGATTACGAATTAAAAATAAATTAAATATAATTTCAGATACAAACTGGAAGTGGCTGGCAAGTCTCTACCCGTGTTGACAAACCTGGATAAAGGTCGATACGGTGTCTTAATCTTTGAAAATCTGAACAAGTACCTGCAGATGGACAAGTGGAATCGCGAATTGCTAGATAAATATTGCAGAGAATATTCGGTCGGCATCGTGGGATTCGCGCCGTCCGGCGAGGAAAGTCTCGTCGGTGCGCAGCTGAAGGGTTTTCCTTTGTTCGTGCATACTAATCTCAGGCTGAAGGTTCGTTGGAAAAGATAAATTAAATATTAGAAATGATTGCGATTAATATCATGCATTCGTAATTGCATCATATATTGCATATAGGATTGGAATAATAACATGAATAAATATAAAAATTAATTTGATAAAAGTCATCGTGCATTTTATTGTTAAAAAAAAGTAAAAAAAATTTGAAACCTTAAAGTTATTTTACCTTAAAGGATTTAATAATTCTAATGTTAATTATATAAACGTAACTAGATATGATACATTAAGAATTAATATCAAACAATAATGAAACAATTATAATTGACTTGCAAAATAATTAATCTATATTTGAATATACAGTTAAATATCCCGCTGGATTTTCCTTAACGATTTTCATCTTTTTGACCTATTCCAAAGAGAAGCCTTCCTTTTTCTCCCTCCGTTCTCCAGTCACCTGTTATGGTAAGGACTTACATTTTCAAATTTTCCTCTATGAATCCTTACATGAAAATCAATGAAATATCGCAATATAGAAATATCTTTCTAATTTCAACTAATGATAATATCTCGTTGATCTTAAAGTGAAAAAAAAAATCATCGAACAAAAAAGAATATTAAAATTTATAATTATAAACAAAGATTAAACGGCGTGTCCTGAGCCGTTTGAAAGAAGTTTCCAATCGAAACGAGACGCTTAACGATTTCACAATCGAGAAAAAGCAATTTTCTCAAGTGTGAAACATATTCACAGATCGCGAGATGGCCGTGGTTTCTTATTGGCTGTCAGAAAATAAATTTCGTCATAGTACTTGATAATGTTTTGGGCCGGGATAGTGGTTGTTGTCCGAGACGAGCGGAAAGAATCGCGAAACGAGTATTGGCAATCTCCGTTACTGTGACGAAACGATCCTCAAGTTTATTCCGTGGAAAAATTGCAACCAGAAAACTTTGAAAGAGAGAGCATCTATGTAATAAAAGCATCGATCCCTGAAACCGTTATTCGCAATACGACAAACGTGCCCCCAAACGGTTTATCGAGTTTCGCGGGAAAAGGTTGCCACGGTGAATCAATTTGCATGCGGCATGAAATCGTGCGTGTCTGTACGATTACCGATAGGCAATATATGCTGCGATTTTGCTCCTTTCTTTCAACGTTACCGTGACACATGTTGATTGGCTTGAATAAAACTGTAAATCTGTGCCGTGTCGTTGTTTCTTTTTTTTGTTTTCAAAAAATAAAATGGTAACTATGTAAATGAATTCGCTTTGAAAGTTGTAACATATAGAATGATATGTACATTAATTTTCGTAGTAATTTATAGCAAAGTGAAATGAAATCTTGTAAAGTTTAATGCATTACAAAATAAATTAGTAAATTGGTATGTATTGATTTAATTGAAGATACATATCATTATAATGGAACTATTTACATCTTGGTTAAAAAAATTAGGATCATTTTCACAATTTTCAGCATATTTCATATTTTCGATAAAATTTAATGGCCTGGACGATATTTAATAGTTAATTATAGTTTTATTAATTAACATTTTTATTTACTAAAATATATACACACACATATTAATAATTTAATATATTAATAGCGTATGTATATGATAAAATATATATATCGTTTTATTTATTATATTATATATATATATTATTATTTATTTTTTATTCTTGAATAATGTTGCCAAATATCCAAATTTTTTTTTTTTGAATCAGCTAATATATTTTAGATATATATAAATATTTTATTTTAAGTAGATTCCAGATTTTTATTCTTTGAATTCATATCAGGAGAAGTGCTTAGCTATGGAAAATGTAGTAGAAAATAATAAGATATTATATATCATAATTTATAATTATATATAATATATTAATATTTGATAAAATTTGCAATTAAATTTCGAATTGGCCTTTAAATTTTACTAAAAATATAAAAAAATATTAAAAATTACAAGTTGTCCTAATTGCATATATTGAAGTATATGTAATAGTATATATATTGAAAATATATGTAATTTTAAAAAATTTTTATTTATAGCAATAATTATTTCTAACTTTAATATTGAATTAAATGTATTTTTCTTATATAAACAAAATTTTAATTGTAGTCTATTATGAATATTTAAAAAATCAAAATCTTTCATAACTTTGAATAATTCATAGAAATTTATGTATCTTAAAAATTTAACGAAATGCATCGATTTTAATAAAATATTTTAACAACACAGAATATATTTCCGTAAATAAAGTAGATACGTGCGGATTATGTAATTGTCTGATGCTTAGTCTACTTTTTCTTATCTACTTAATGCGACTTCAACAGAATTTTGCAATCACACTTTATTTATTTGTACTTTAATATTAATCTATATTTTTAAAAATATGTTTATAAAGAAAATACTTCCAATTCCATTAGATTTATTAATTTATTCATATGCAATATTATTAAATACTTTCTAAATGAATATTATAATTCATTTAAAATATATAAAAGAATGGGATAATCAATACGATATTAAAAAATAATATAAGTAGCAATATCTCTCTATCGTATCCTCGAATTCATATCCTCGAATTTCCACTAAACTATTAATTATTATTTTAATTATTATTGAATTTGTTAAAAATAAATTTAATTAATTCCTCATTTATACTTTATTTTCTCAATTTAATATGTTTCTCTACATCAAATTGATGCATTATAAACATCAATAAAAATGAAAAGATAAATAATTATTTTATTGAAAGCAAAAAAATAAAAATTTATATGATAGATTATTTGAATTCTTTGGAGATATTCAACTTTGCATTGTTTCGATTTTACTATTTTCAATTTTGTCTCTTCATCAATAAAGAAAAATAAAAAGAAGGCAAACGTAACGCTTTTCTTTTCTTTTTTCAAGTTCATATCAAACAATAACAATAACAATATAAAGCTATACATGTCTAGTTAATTTAAAGGAATCGTTTATAAATATATAATTACTATGCAATTACAAAAATGAAGATCTTTATATTAATGGATTTGACAAAACGTAAGAAAAGATTTTTTTAACAAATATCGTCAATTTTTTTTACTATTATATTAACAATTAGAGATATATATTTCATGTTAAAAAAAATAACAAAAATCAATTTTTATACGAATAGTGAAATATTAAATTGAACACGAAAAATGGATAGTTAAAAATCTATAACATGAAGCAAAGATTTTAATAAATAATCTAAAATTTTCTAAAAACATGATATTAAAATAATTTAAATCTGACATAATAAAATGGTATCAGAATGTTTATAATGAAATTTTATACTATGGATATTTTCGATTCTTATTCTTTCTTCTCAAAATTAAGAGAAGAATAAAATAAAATCAGGAAAACTACTCACGTATAGGCAACAAGTTCTCTAGTTGCTGACAAAATGAGATCGGTTTTTCCTCCCTCAGGATGCACAACTGAACGCAGCGTCTCCTATCCTCCGATTAACCAGATCCGGGGAAACGGCCTGGGGACCACTTCCTGGCGGTGACTGGACCATTTTTCAAGCCAATCACAGCACTTACGAACCCCTGGCATGGGCACATCGGGACAGCCTCGACTATCCGGCTAATAAAAGTCCTCTGGCGACTGTCATTCAGGTGAGACATACGAATCGCATCGTGCTTTTTCGCCCATATCTTTCTACATCGTATGTTCGAATCAGAATTGGACCGGGATTAATCACGTAATGAAACGTGAACCACTCTTGGAATAACTAAAGTTATATGATCTCTGGTAGATTGCAGAAATTTTAGAGAGACAAGACAATTAAATTAGTTCGTGTTCCAATTATTACCGAACTGAAATTGGATTTTAATATGACTTTAACCGTCGTTTGCAATTTTACTCACGCCGTATATTTTTATCACAGAGTAAGAAAAGAATAGATTTATCATTCAGAAAATTCCAATTTCTCTTCAAAATTTTACACTTAATTTTCGTATATTTGAATAGGTTTTAATTTAAAGTTTAAAGTAACCGAGATATTCCTTCTTATTTTGAAAATTCATAAAATTTATACGAGTATCGAAATATAATATTATAATTCTTTAGCAATGAACAATGGAGAATAATTATCAGATAGCAGAATGTAAAAAAGAGATCCTAGATTTTTCAATTTTCCAATCAAAGAAAAAATTTTGAAAATTTTGTTAAATTCGCCATACATAAATTTATTTTCATTACAGTTGAATATTATAATCGGAAAATCAAATGAAAAAAAAAAGTTACAACAGTATAAAGTTGCTTGATCGAGAGATTGAATTTAAAAATTAAAAATCGAAAAGTACAAATTATTTCTACTGTATAATTTTCAATTAAAGAATAATTCCTATTAAACCAACAATTTCCTATTAAATTATACGAATTAAGGATCAAAATTAAAAACAATATGGAACGGGAATGGGCATCTTTAATCGCAAAGGCAAGAGGATCTCAAACTCGCATCGACCAACGTCAACTTCCGTTCCTTCCTTAATTAGCAAATTAATTAACGCACCTCCTGTTTATCGCTTTTCTTTTCGCAGTTACCAAAGCTCCTTGCCCCTCTCTCCTTCCCTCCCCTCCCTCATGCCTTCCTCCTGTAATTTTATCAGACGGTGTCTCGCTTTGTCGGATCCGAATAAGCTAACATAATTGCAAAGAATATTAATTACAGCTTACAAAAGGGGACGTATACACCGGGTTTTCTCTTCTTCCTGGTTGGTTGGGAAAAATGTGCACGCGTTAGGATCCTATCCAACCCTCTCGAACTGTTTTCCTCGAATACATCCACCCTTTGTAGAATCTGTGACCCGATACCGATGAACAGGAACAACGCTCTTCTTATACGGATTATTAATTATTAGCTGCATTGTTAACGTTGTACAAAGTGACAGTGGATCGCTACGTTCGTTTAATTAAATACGATTCCG